GGGGGGGGGGGGGGGGGGGGGGGGGGAGTAAACATCAGATGCAGGACAATAGACCATTTAAATAAAATATCAAAAGGATGAAAGTAGAACTTGCTGTGTACCTGAGGGAGTTGCTTTAAAAGGTTGGGAAATATTGCATTCTTCATCGAGTTTAACTGATCAACTACACCCGGAATGACCAACATTGAAACAGCATAAGTCAATGGAAGATACTTGGCAGCATAACAGAGAACTTCTACCTTCAAGTCGACAACCAAAAGCCTGGCCTTGTCCATAGCTGAAAGTACATAAATTTAACTTCCATTAGGAGTGGTAAGAACACCTATACCATGACAAACATCTGCTCGTTACCACTTTAAGGCTGGAGAGGTGAAGTTATGAAGTAAATACTGACATCAATAACTACCTGGCAAGTATTCTACAACTGGTGCATTAGATTTTTGAGACTTTCCCGAGCTATTTAGAAGAACACTTACTTGGACTATATCTGCATTCTAAGAAAAAAAGCTCTTGAAATACTAGGGCTAAGATCGCATTCTAGTTTCTTAAGGTGAAACTAAGCAAAACACTCATAGAATCACCAAAAAAAAAAAATCTTATAAGTCACAGAAAGCCACACATGCCGAAAAAAACATCTGGAAAAAAAAATGAATACCTGCGAACAAAACGTTGTGGACTCAGTTTTACTTTTTAAACAGAAGTGTTCACATGGAAAAGACATCCCATCAGCATTTTGGCTGCCTTCATTCAAATGCCTAATCTTTGAGAGATTAATTTGGAAATCCATTTGTGAACCACGTAGAATGACTGGACAAGGATCTTCTGTGGAGTTTTTATATAACGATTCCACTGCATATACCACCTGTGGGTCACTCAACTTGGAAACAACTGATTCTATGGCATGTGTGTACGTCTTTTCAACATCTGAAAGATATGGAAGCTCAAATGATATTAACACACATCTCAATATTTAATGAAAGCAAGAAAAAGTGATGAAAAAAAAAAACAACTCAAGACAGAAAAGCAGGTATCTGGCCACATAGTTTGCACACAAAACACTGCACGCTGAGTACTTTCTAGTTTTCATCAAGGAAAGTTAATTAACAAACCATTGGATCAATTGGTCCCCCTGGTAGAGATATAAACAATCTTCAATAAACTCCCACTGTCATAATATCTTTTTGTATATGTAATGTTCCTGAATCCTAGATTATCAGCTAGACTACTAGAACTCCAGAGTGTAAAGTGCTAAAATTCAGCTAGACCACAGTCCTGTGTATGCTCCAGTGCCTTAGTTGAAGCAAACGTTATGTAGCCAAATCAACTCGTACAAACTGGCATCTCTAACGTGAAAGTGTAAAGCATTGTATCCCTCGAACATGCAAAAAGTTATGATAACTAAACAAAAAGCCACCCGTTTTAACTTCACCTGATGGTCTGTCGAGAGGAATATAGAGCGGTACACTAATCGGTAGTTCGCACCGGAGCAGACAACCTCTCTCCCAAATATATTTTTCAGGATTATTTTCGTACATAACAGAAGAGACAGAATCCAAGCTCGTGCCATTTCCAGAATCGGAGACAAAAAAGTGGATATCTGTGGAATTGAAATCAGCAACTGCTCCAATCAATAACTGTTTCTCCGACTTTTCTCCATGAGATAGAAGCTGATTCAGTCTCCTCGCCAAATCAATTGCCTTTCTCGCATGTTCTTCGACGTTGAAATTTCCAACAACCAATGCTCCAATAATATAAAAACCCTTCAATAATAACGTCCTCAGGTCTTCTGCTCAAAAAAATCAGATTAAGTTCCTTAATTCTAATTCAAGAGGCTAGAAATCCAGTTCACTCGAGACTAAATAGTTCAATGCAGTCTATCATAAATTGATCGACTATAGAAGTCTTCTAATTCAGGATGTCTTTGAATGAAACTCGCATAAAGGTACTAACCTGCTTCCTTGGTGAAATCAGGCGAGACAGATTCCTGTGGAGACAAATGATGGATGCATCTGAGAGTGGAGACGATAGTCAAAGGCGACAGAAACGGCGATCCGATAAGCCATTGAAGAGCCGGCTCTTTTTTCTGGAGAACGAGTTTTGGCGGCAGAATTTTGATACATCGTTTCTCATCGACTTCCTCCATGGATGCTTGAAGCTAGCTCGCAGCTCCGAATCGCAAGTCGTTCGCCGGAACTTGCAAAACCATACGCATTAAGCCGCACAATTTGAGCTGGGCCGGAAAGGCACAAATACCACCATAGAGCCCAATTAGTTATGGGCTAACTTTGAGTATTTGAAAACTGAATTTACACAAAATACCCTTGAATTTATTTTATTCTTAATTTAATTAATTTAAATTCAGAAATTAAGAAAACGATAACAATAATAATGGAGACTTTTCATGATCCTTTGTTGAATTTATTGTGTTATTTTGTAATTAATGTAAAATAAAATATTCATAAATTGAGATTTTCTATAATTGTAGTATTTGTTTATGTTATTTTGTAATTAATGTAGATTGAAAATAAATAAAATAACATAAAATAAATGAGAGATTCCCCTTAAAGTCGGTTTATATAAGGTTTTTTTCTTAGTTCAATTTGTTCCTAACGTGTTCTTCGAACCATTTGCTAAGACATAGACTTGAATAAAGATGTCCACTTTATTCCGTTCCAACAGTACCGAATTTCTCATTTAGATGGAGAATGGAGAGGAAGTGTGTGATATCCCACACAACAACATTCATAATGATATGGAAACTTTTCCCTAGGCCCAAATTTAAACCTCGACCACGAGTTGCTATTTGTAATGAACTGGGCCTCGTTCATTGAGCTACGTTGACAAGGCCCAAATATCAGTCAAGCCCAATTACTTACATCCGGCCCAATATTTAAACCTCGTGGCCGAGAGTTGAACTGGGCCTGATTCATTGAGCTACAAGCGGCCCACTGTAGAACACAGGCCGCACAAATTGCAGTAATGGGCTACGTTGAAAAGGCCCAGATCTCAAGTTTGTTGATTGGTAATATAAATCATTTAAAATTCTAATAAAAAATCCAATAAAATTTTATTTTAAAATATTAATATATAATTTTTTAATCAATAGATACTTTTATAATCATTATATAATAAAAAATGTTATAATAGTCACATAAAAATATGTTTTCCCGTAAACAAAATTAAATGGCTGCTACGACGTGGAAACGTTTCAAAATTCTACATCAAATTTGAAAAGTATTTTGTATAATTTAAAAAGGATCGGGTTTTTAATGTAAAACCAAGACCTACGGAGGTCTAAGATTATCTCGAAATTTGTCTCGTAACCCGACACAATCAATTAAAGTAAATTTAGCAATGTCGCACCTCCCGGTACTAGGTACCTTTAAGAATTTTAATTTTCAATTAAGCAAATCATTAAGTCTAACTAAAATTAACATGGTGATATAATTACCTTGCCAACTAAAACCCATCACCACGTGGCTCTAAATCATTGCACCATTTTGTATAATTTCTAAACCCAAATAATTAAAAGGACCTTCTTATAATATTTCTAAAAATCAACCTTTTAGTATTTATGTTGGTGACTTAAATATTTAATTTCAAAAAATAAATATATCATTTTTAAAATTTTAAAGAACTCTCAGTTGGATATCGTTGGCTTGTTCCCCATGTTACTTGAGAAAAAAAAAAATCAATTCCTTTTTTTTTTAATATATTTTTATTTTTTTAGCAAAAAGTAAATAAATAAATAAATAAAATAAGAGGAGAGGGACCATTTTAACCCCACTATGCACCATGTGGTCGCGATTTTGAGACAGTGGGAGCCCTTTTTTGTAATCAACCTTTTTATTTATTTATTTATTTATTTAACAGGGTAAAAATTAAAAATATATACTGTCGGTGGAAAATAGTTCTGCAAATTTAGCGTTGAATTTTGTAATTAAAAAAATAATGATAATTAGAAGAAAACTTAATTTTAAGGGTTTAGGTTGACAAAATTATGATTAAAAATAGGAACAATAATATACAAAAATCCACCGACAAAACATTTTCCACTTAATTATTTTTATTTATTACTATTTTTGATGTGGAAATTTGGGGTTCTCCATGTGCTTGCTTGTTGAAGTGGATTGTCCACCCAATAAATAAAAATTGGTGAAAAAAATAACGATTGGCTGAGTGGGATTGCCACGTGGAGGGCTGACGACATAACACGTGTGAAATGTAACTGAACGTGCATGAGAATTGATGGACCTGAGGGCTATTTGATCCTATCCTATCTTAAACACTTCATGGCTGCCTTTGAATCTCTTAAATCATTTATTTTAATTTTTTAAATCTTTTTTGAATTATTTAATTTCGATAAAACTAAATAATTACCAAATAAAATTCATGTGAGGCTAATTTCAAAATTGCTCAACTGTTTAATGATAAATAGTACTGAATATAAATTATTATTTTAAATAAAATGCATTTTGACCTTATATTTTTAAAACTTGCAAAAAATAAATTAATTTTATGAACCTTACAAGGCAGTTTTTATTTTTATTTTTTTTATAAATAATTTCATTGTTCATTTAAAAAAAAAAAAAAAAAAGGAAAGAGAAAAAGTGGAGACATTCTTAAATCCCCCGGTTGTACGTTTGAGTTCGTGACGGACGACGGCGATTCGTCCGGAAAAAGGGATAAGAGACAGATCCCCACCACGTGACGGACCGAAAATGATTTTCTTGGCCTCCACACGGTGCCACGTGTCATGGAAACTCACACGACTATGCCATGTCAGCAACGCATGCGGAATTTCGGCGAGGTTTGCGGAACTCTAGTAATTTAAATAAACTCAAAAAAAGGAAAAAAAAATCAAAATAAAATAAAATAAAATAAAAAAGGGCCCTACTTTAGCTTTATAGAAGTTTGATTTTGGAGTGCAAAGCATGTGCGGTTGTCACGAGGATTTGTGGCGCAATTAATTGTCCATAAATTTCAATATTTTGTCTTTCAATTAAAACAACCTTTAAATATCTAAATTTAGATAATCTTCTTTTAATAAATCTTATGTCAATTTTAATTATTTTTTTCGGTCGTGTTACCTATTTTTATGATTAAATCACCGAACATAAATGTGCACCTTGTTGGTATAAGTAACGACGTCTAATTATTATAACATTTTTTTAGTTATCATATTCTCATAACCGCTCTTATTAGATGTGGTCTTAATTCGTTTATATACCTCTCATTTACACGAGTATCATATTTTTGTTTTAAAAAATTAACCCCAAATTAATATCTTTTCTTTTTTCTTACCTAAGATTTTCCTCTCAACCATATTACCGATATTTCATTAAATTTCATATCTATTAAATTTGGCTAAATAATAAATTTATTCTTCGATTATTTAATTTATATAAATCTTAAATACTTTCATTAGGGTGGGGAAGCATCTCGATGAAATAAGATTTTAGTAGACCAATTAGTGACTCGGCTTTTCATACGTGAAAAAACAAAATTTTAGACAAAATTTTCACCGCTATCTTTTTTTTTTTCTCGATTGTTTGATGTAATATGTTATAAATTTTTAAATTTTTCTCTGTTTAGTTACTAGACTTTAAAAATTGTCTAATATATCATTAAAATTTTAATTTTACGTCTTATTTTATTTCATTAAAAATATTATAAAACTACTCGACATTTAATTTAAAGATTTATTAGATATGAAATTAAATAATAAAATATTTATTTAAATTTTTACCAAAAAAAAATAATATTATTAGACTTTTTTATAAATTTATAAATATTTTTGGTTGGGTTACTAAATTTTGTTTGAAATTTTCGAAAGAAATCGGTGGAAAAAGGGACCAAAATTTATGGGTATTTATTGGTTGGGTTGGAAAAAGTGGGGTCCACTGGATGCTGGTGGACGTGTACAAGTTGTTTATTGTAAAGCAATTATATGCCCTATTATTTTGGAATTTATGGGGAATCAATATGAATATTTAATGCTTTTATAAATTATATTGCCCTATAAAAAAAATTGAATAAAAATATAAAATCAACTCCTAAAAACAATAATCAAAATATGTACGAAATTCTTGATTTATTAAGATGTATCATCACTTGTTTTTTTGCATCACTAATATTTTAAACATTATATATTTAAATTATTTAGTCAAATCAAAACACGAGTTTCAGCAAAATGACAGATTTATAAAATCGAATTTTCATTTAATAAATTATTAATTAAAAATTTTAATATAAAACAATAAAATGCCCTTCAATAATAGTAAAAATGGGCGTCCACTAAATCATTACTATTTTATTTAAAAAAATATAATTAAACTTTAAAAGTACCGAGTTTATGTTTTTAGAGTGATGTAAAAATATTTTATTTATTTATTTATTTATGTTGAAGATTTTATTGTTTTTTAAACATTATTAAAAATTTAATGGTATTTTCAAAGTAAATTAATAATGTTTTATTTCAAAATTAATGGATATTATTGAAAATTTTGAACAAATTATAAATATATTATTATGATTATTATTAATATTATTATTATTATTGTAGCGTCAGGGTCGACTTCGAGCGCCTACCATTATTTAGGGCTTATTTAACGGCCAAAACTACCCGGTTGGAATCCCGTAAAACCAGAAATCAACTCCCAGCAAGCACTTGTGGGCCCCACATGTTTAGTTTAGTTTAGTTTAATCACACAATTAATCACCTCCTCATCCCTCTTAATCTCTTTATATACTCCTCCTTCTTCCTCTGTTTTTTCTCACCTCTCACTCCTTCCATTTCCACTCTCAAATGGCACCGCCAACAGTCGTTCTCTCTCTCCTCTCCCTCTTTTTCCTCTCCGTCTCTCTCTCCGCCGCTCTCTCCGCCTCCCCTGCCGCCGTACCTAACCCGGAAATCGTTGTAGAAGAAGTACACAGGTAAAACGACATTCCCATCTTAACCTCTGTTTTTGTTTTTTGTTTTTTTTTTTGTTCTCTGTTTTGAAATGTGCGTTCCACTCTGTGTTACAGATCCATAATCAATGCGACGAAGAGGAGAAATTTGGGGTATCTCTCATGTGGGACCGGAAATCCCATCGACGATTGCTGGCGGTGCGACCCGAATTGGGAGAAAAATCGACAGAGACTAGCTGACTGTGGAATCGGCTTTGGAAAAAACGCCATCGGCGGTCGTGACGGCCGAATCTACGTCGTCACCGACGCCGGCGACGATGACCCTGTCAACCCCAAACCAGGAACTCTCCGTTACGCCGTCATCCAAGACGAACCCCTCTGGATCACCTTCGCTCGCGACATGGTCATTCGATTAAAAGAGGAACTAATCATGAACTCCTTCAAAACCATCGACGGCCGTGGTGCGAGCGTCCACATCGCCGGCGGCCCCTGCATTACGATTCAATACGTAACAAACATCATAATCCACGGTCTCAACATTCACGACTGTAAACCAGGGGGAAACACCGACGTTCGAGATTCCCCTCGGCATTTCGGATTCAGAACCATATCGGACGGCGACGGCGTTTCAATCTTCGGTGGTAGCCATGTTTGGGTCGATCATTGCTCTTTATCAAACTGTAACGATGGTTTAATCGACGCGATTCATGGGTCCACAGCCATCACGATTTCAAACAATTACATGACGCATCACGATAAAGTGATGCTATTAGGCCACAGCGATTCGTACACACAAGACAAGAATATGCAAGTCACCATAGCTTTCAACCACTTCGGCGAAGGGCTTGTTCAAAGAATGCCCAGATGCCGACATGGGTACTTCCATGTAGTGAACAATGACTACACGCATTGGGAAATGTACGCCATCGGAGGTAGCGCCGCGCCGACCATCAACAGTCAGGGGAACAGATTCGTTGCACCAAATGACAGATTCAGCAAAGAAGTGACGAAATACGAGGATGCACCGGAGAGTGAATGGAAGAATTGGAACTGGCGGTCGGTTGGGGATCTGATGGTAAACGGTGCGTTTTTCACAGCCTCCGGCGCCGAATCGTCGTCCAGCTACGCCAGAGCGTCGAGCTTAGGGGCGCGGCCGTCGTCTCTTGTCGGAACAATCACGACGAATGCGGGTGCACTGAGCTGCAGAAAGGGCTCCCGCTGCTGATTATTGCACTGAGCGAATTGTTGTATCTTTTTTTCTTTTTTTTATTTTTATTTTGGGGGTGTTTTTATAATTATTACAATTTACAACCTCTGTATGTAATTCTTGGAACTATTGGGGGCTTCCTTTTAAGAACCTGAATGGTCTCCGGTCAAATCAAATGCAGAAGAGTTGATATTTGATATAGTAATTTCTCTCTCTTTGCTTTTTATTATTATTTTTAATATTAAAAGAAGATTTATCTTTAAATTTTTAATTTTAATTTTAATTTTTATAAATCTTTTATTAATTTTCAAGAACCTCAATTACTTGAATATCTTCATTTAATTTTATTAATAAATTAGTTTTTTTTTTCTTTTTAAAATCTAATAAATTTTTAATTTTTAAATTTCATCTAACTATTTATTTATTTTTTAAGATTTAAATTTATTATACACTAAATTAAATTATTTTACATTTAATTAATTTTTTAAAAAATTATTATTAAAATAAATTGAAAAGAAATTCGAGATTAACAAAGTAAAAGTTTTCCACTACAACCTACTTTCGTAGCCAATCTTTCGATTTGACTTCAAATCTTTGGACTTAGAAATTTACGCCATCAAATTCAATATACATATAATATATATTTTTTAATTTACAAAATTTCGAGGGCAAAAGATTACAACCAAGTTCGATAAAAAGTCAATATATATATATTAACAAAATCATGGAAAATCCCAAATTGAACAAAATCAAGAAATGTGTTGATTAATAGTTTAGTTTAATTTAAAAAAAATATTTTTTTATATTTGAATTCTGTGCGTTAAAAACGAAAACAGTAGCATTTTGATCGGTTTTTGTCGGCAGGTATTTATTATTATTATTATTTATTATAAGAAAATCCTTTTAATCCTTCCCAAACAGATATATGGTCGATAATTCAAACCTAGGAATGATACAATCAAACCATGAATAGTAATCATTAGTTATGTTCAAACGTAACGATGTTTTGACCACTAGACGGTTGTTCGAGACAGTTGAAATCTCACCCATATTGAAATTTTTTATGAAAAGTTAAAAGACGTTTTAACCGACGAACGATTATCGTTAGATACGTTCAAACGTATCGACGTTTTCGATAGAAATAACAAATGTCGTAAGCTACCAAACGGTTGTTCGAAACAATTGTTGTCGGTAGGTTGAAGTTCGTAACCCGAATAAGTTGTTAAAATTTGTATTTATGGTACCGACTAACGAGAAAGTTAAGAGTAGAAATTAAAAAAAGAGGTGGAAGAAGAGAGCACATGGGTAAGTATAAGTACATGGTTGAATGATGGGTTTGTTTGTTAACATTAATTGAGAGTTTCAAAAAACAGGTCATGTTTATTGCCATACCACATGCCACCATTTAAGTCTTCTTCTTCAACTCCCTTTCACATATCCATTTCCCCTTTATTACTCTTTCCCCCCTTCACTGCCCTTTTGACTATGCCTATCTCCACCCGTTTTAATGCTATGCGTTTGTCGTATCGTGACAACGTAATTGTAACACCCCAAACTCACTGTTGTTAGATATTGTTCGTTTTGGTCCATTACATATTTTTTCCTAACTTCTTCCGCTGTTGGTAACCTTAAGGATAAGAAGTGGCGGCATGTTGGATGATGAAAGTCCCACATCGGCTAATTTAAAGAATGATCATGGGTTTATCATATCATTGTGGAGAGTTGTGTTTGTCTAACACGGTAAAGCTCTTGATTGATCAACGCGAGTGAACTGTGCTTAGACACTTTGTAAAACCGCACCAATAGGGAGAGGAGATGATGGATGAATATGGGCTTGCTTCCGATGAGAGTTCGCATGCCTCAGTAGGAAAGGCTTTTTCTTGCAGTGTTTAAGTTTCATATTTTAACTCAACACATGTGTCAAATTCATCAAACTTGAGTGTTCCTTATAGTTTCGTTGAAAAATATCGAAAGAGTACTTTTAACTGAAGTGTTGATAGGAGTCAAATTATACTTTTAACGATAATTTCCGAGTCAGAAATCGAAATGGAATTGAGTGTGGCACACAACATTCAATTTGTGGGTTGCAAAATGGAAACACACATGTGCAGACATTGAGTGGAGAAAGAGGATTAAGACAATTTAGATTAGACCTTCACTTCACTTCATGTGCATTTTTGCTTCTTCCCCACTCTTGACATTAACCCTTCATCTAATCCAATAATTCCTTCCCTTTTCCATTCCTAACTTTCTTGTCTTTTTCTCGAGACCTCCCGAGTAAAAATTACGTTAAACAGATAAAAAACGAGTTTCTAAAATATCATTAATCGAGTGCTGAATGAAGTCTAATATTTTAGTCGTTCACGTAAAATTTTCAGCTACTTCCGCTATCAGTTACAGGGTTGATTTTTTTTTTTTGTTGCTAAAGTTAAACCCGATTCGTATTCAAGTCGTTCGAGGTAATAAATGTTCAAAATTTTGAAACATGAACTAATATGAAAGTAGCTAGAGTCCTCCACTTGAGTCCCATAAATTTTGGGTAACTTTTGCAATTTCCAGAAGTTGTGGGGCCAACTTGTAAGCGGTGATTCTAATTGAAGAAATATCGCAGTAAATGATGGCTTTTTTTGGGCATCACTATTTATCCAAATTATTATTTTAATGATTTCTCACATTTCTAACTATAAAACCAATCTTAATGATGCTTATAAGTTGTAATTATGATTAGAAACTTACTTAATCTATAATTAAATCAATTAAATACTTCCCCGAAGCATGAAGTTTAATTAACATAATTTGGTTAAAATATTTTTTAAATATAAAAAATGTAAGATATAAATATTTAAGCCTTTGATTTTAATATGACATTATTAAAATAAATTGAATGTAATGATTTGAATGAAGCCCAATAAAGCGAAGCTGTCAATTCCAATGACATGGGCCTGGATGGAAATGCGGTCTTTCAAGCGTTATGGGCCTATTGGATCTTTCATTTAGGCCCATTGGGCTTGTGTAAAAGGATGCCCAATAATTCAACCCGACAACCTGGACCAACCCGAACTATAAGGGTTGGGTTGGTTTGGATTAGCATTTTGGATGGGGTTGGGTTCATTTTTTCTGAACATTGTAACGGCTCAGGCTTACCGCTAGCAGATATTGTCCTTTTTGAGCTTTCTCATTCGGGCTTCTCTTCTAAATGATGGTTTGTTCTCCTCCCCAACCAATGTGGGACATCACAATCCACTCAATTCGAGGCCTAGTGTACTCGCTAGCACTCTTTCCTAACTCCTATCATTGTGGGACCGCCCCAAATCCACCCTCCCTTTAGGGCCCAGCGTCCTTACTGGCACACCGCCTCATGTCTACCCCCCTTCAGGGAACAGTGAGAAAGCTGGCACATTGTTCGATGTCTAGCTATGATACCATTTGTAATGACCCAGGTCTACCGCTAGCAGATATTATTCTCTTTAGGCTTTCCCATTCGGGCTTCCCCTCAAGGCGCATCTACTAGGGGAAGGTTTTCACACTCTTATAAATTGTGGTTTGTTCTCCTCCCCAACTAGTGGGACGTCACAATCCATAAATTATACCATAATAATAATAATAAATAAATAAATCCATATTAAAATAAATAAAAAATCATAGGCAAATATATTTCATTATCCAATACACCGGTCCACTTAATTAATTGTTTGAATTAAAAAAAAAAAAATCAAATCAACAAAAATAATTAAAAGATTTTTTTTTTTATATTTAGAAATAATATATTTTTCTCCCGCCCTTCGCCGATTTTTCACGTTTCTCGTCATTCCTTGACCGTGTATAACCGTCACTTAATAATAAATTAATAATCGTGGAGCACGCATTTAAAAATTAAATTTTATTTATTTATGTACGAATAAAATAATATTAAATTTAACTGTTACTCTGTGATTGGTTGTTCATATTTTTCCCATTATTTTTAATAAATATCCGTGCATATCACGTGTCTCAAATGCATTTCTGGCCTCACATATTCAAAAGTTTTTTTAATTAATAATTTAAACTATTTATGGGTGATTATATTAATTATTAAATACTAAAATTTTTAATTTTATATCTAATACATTTGTGTCTGTTCGAAGGTTTATTGGTCATTCACCCTAGGATTGAAATAGGTTAGGAATCCAAAATGACGACATAGCACAAGCCACTAAACGGCACCGCTTCACCGCAGATCTACTTTAGTTTCGTCTCGAACATTTCTTTACAGTAGATCAATACACTTGACGTAGACTAGTAAGAAGAGACTTGCTCGTGGGTTGGGCTAGAAGGGTCGTGGTCTCGTCACTCTCCTTCTGATACGGAATTGCATCTTTTGAAGAGAGGTTCTTAACGGACACGAACTTCAAGCTTTTATGAAATTCAAGCGGTTGATGATCTTATTTGAAATAGACAACGACACATGTATAGTTGTGAGTGATTTTAAAATGAAATGTGAAACGAGATTATATGCTTTATGTGACAAAATTATTAATGTACATATTTGTGTGGTTGTTATTTGCATCCTAATTTTCTTTCCACTTGAATTATGTCTCTATGTACGGGTTTCAATAATTACGTTAGTATCTTTCGCTATCGTGCTGCAGTGTTGTTATAAAAAAAAGTTATGTTCACTTGGACACATGTGAAAAATGTGAACGATTTTATGTTTTAATATAATTAATGAAGACGACTTTTTTGTTTTGATATAATTAATGTATTAGTGTTCGTAGAATTATAAACTGTCGTTAATAAGACGCCAATTATCATTTTAAATGTAATGGGTTGATCCCGACCCATGATTTTTAATAAGTACGGGTGAGAAACTTAGTTGGCGTTTATTATTAGAATAGGAATGTTGATGTCCGCTTTGACCTGTTACATATCACTGCCTCACAATGTCTCACAATTCACTTCTTTAAGAGCCTAGTGTCCTGATACACTGTTTGGTGTCGGGTTCTGATACCAGTTGTAACAATAGATATTAATAGTCTTAACTCGTTGTATATCGTAATCAGTTTAACAATTTTAAAATGCTTATGTTAGGAAGTGATTTTAACGCTCTTGTGAATAATGTTCGGTGCATGTCAGGACAGATGAGGACAGGAACAGCAAATGCGGTGGAAAGGACGGTGGGCAGATTTACAACTGTAAAAGCTCCATATAATTCCGCAATTTTCTTGT